GGTGGTTCCCTTGTGCACCGTCAGTGGGTGCTGACCGCCGGGCACTGCGTTGGACCGTGAGTTTTGGGAGGAGGGGCTGGACAGTGGGGCATCAGGCCAGGTTGTGCCTGTGCCGACCAGTCCCTCAGACAGGTCCCTCCTCTCCACAGGGACATCGGGGACCCCACAGAACTCAGGGTGCAGCTCCGAGAACAGCACTTGTACTACCAGGACCAGCTGCTGCCTGTCAGCAGGATCATTGTGCACCCCAACTTCTACACCGTGCAGGAAGGTTCTGACATCGCCCTGCTGGAACTCCAGGAGCCCGTGAAAATCTCCAGCCACGTGCAACCCGTCACCCTGCCCCCTGCCTCTGAGACCTTCCCAACTGGAACTCCTTGCTGGCTGACGGGCTGGGGCGACGTGGGCGATGGAGGTAATGCCGAGGACACTGAGGAGCATTGTCCATTTGGGGGGGGACCCTCTCAAGGCATGGGCATTGGCTCCTTGCATTCCTGATGGCTCCATCTTTCCTCCCCTCTTGTCCCCAGCTCCCCTGCCACCCCCATTCCCTCTGAAGCAGGTGACAGTCCCCATCATTGAAAACAGCCTTTGTGATACCAACTACCACATGGGTCTCAACACTGGGGACAATGTCCGCATCATCCATGATGACATGATATGTGCTGGAAATACCAAGAAGGACTCCTGCCAGGTGGGTCCCCTGACTGCCCCCAGCCCCAACCCCGCAGCTCTGCTCACCCCTCATCCTCTCAGTCCAGTGCTGACCCTCCCCTCCTCCAGGGTGACTCCGGAGGGCCCCTGGTCTGCAAGCTGAATGGCACCTGGATGCAGGCGGGTGTGGTCAGCTGGGGCGAGGGCTGTGCTCAGCCCAACCGACCGGGCATCTACACCAGGGTCACCCACTACTTGGACTGGATCTACCACTATGTCCCCAAGGAGCCCTGAGCCCAAGCCGCAGGCCTGTCAGCCTCTCCCTTGTCTACAAGGCAGCTTCCTGCCCCTGCCCCACCACCTCCCTCGTGCCCGGAACCCTTTCCCACCCTGAGCCTCCCTCTGCTCCTGACCCCTCTGACCCTCACCCCATTCCTCAGTCTCATTAAAGTTCATGGAAAGCAAGCAGGCTGTTGTTACTGTATTTCTGCTGGAGGGTGTCACTGGGTGTCCCTGGCAGGACCACCTGGTCGTCGAGATGCCATGTGACCTTGTGGGTGCCCTCCACTGGTCCTCTCCCTAAAGTCAAACAGGAGCCCCCTCTGCCACACACA